TTTTGACCGTTCATTAACGGTCTTTTTGATTGTTTCTTTCGAATTTCACACGTTATAACGTGTTGTAGTGGTAACTAAGGATAACGAAACGAGGCTCAATGGAAGAGAGGGGAGGCGGTGTTCCTCCGTGGTAACATCGTTAAATAGGGGTGTTGATTGGGTAAATTTTTCGGGTTTCGGGTAACTCGGGTCGGGTAATTCGGGTTTTTCATGTTAAAAAAATACCCGTTACCCGACCCAAATTAAATTCGGGTAATTCGGGTTTGGGTAATTCAGGTAGTAGGTCGGATTTGGGTAATTCGGGCATTACCCGAAAATAAATGTAATAAACTAAATATGTCGTACTCTATTAGTCTTATTTATATAAATAAACGAGGCATAAACGAAGTTACTCAAACTTTTAACATTGAGAATTTTTAGTCGATAGTACTTAAGATATCAAGTAATATTTCACAAAAGTAATATCATTTACAAGAAACCAAAATGCAAGAAGCCAATGCCTATTTTCGAAATCATTTACATGAAAATTACTTACGTTGAAGTTTGAAGTCTAAATCGGTGAGTGTTGGTGACGACTTGATGATCGATGACGACGAGTTGAGTTAAGTTTGAAGTCTACTGGAGATATATCTTTGTTTTCGTCGGGTTCGATACTTTGATGAATGACTCAAGAAATAGTCAAGGGCTTTTTAATGATCGAGAATGAGAGTAAAGTCGTAAACAACATATGGATAATTGTGGATATTACTCATAGGGCACTTTATTTTTTAAATAAATCGGGTATTTCGGATATACCCGAAACCCTATACATATACCGAATACCCGGTCTAAAAAAAATCGGATAACCCGAATACCCGAAAATATATACCCGAATTCAAAAGGGGTTGATCGGGTAATCGGGTATTTTCAACAGGCCTATCGTTAAAGGCTGTCCGCCTTACCGCTCGCCGATGCCTACACCGAGTCGTATAATTATATACTATAAACAAAATAATATTAAGTAAACACAATATAGTCATCTCATGTGTGATAGGATGAATTGTACAAGTTTAAATTAAGAATTGTGACGAAACGTATAGAATTGGACAAAAACAGATGGATGATTTGTGTACTTATTCTTAAGATAAAAATAAGAATTTTATAGAGGGCCCTACCAGGTTCGAACTGGTGACCTCTTGATCTGCAGTCAAATGCTCTACCACTGAGCTAAGGACCCTTTTGTTTCTACAGTTACTAATTAAGAAATTCGTTTTGTCGTTTAGTGGTGTAAACCTTGTTAATGTATATGCTTTGGTAAGTATTACTATAACACCCTCTACATATTTATAACAGTAAAAAGAATAAAGAAAAACTACAAAAATTACATAACAAATATACGAATATTATTCAAAGATATATTCTTTTAGTAGTTCTATATTTAAAATACATGTCTGAAAACACCATTTAGATTTTGCATTCAACACTACATATATTAAACATACTACAACACCAACAATCTTCTCGACCACTCCATTTGATAAAAGATAAATTCATTAGTCCAATTTAGGTTTCGATGTTGTTCTTCAGAAGGGGTTCAAATTTCCATGTGAATTAGTCCAATCATGATCTTCGTTTTCAAAGAATTCCATCAAGCTTTCGTCTCCTAAATATAGCGGTGACATGCTGCCAAATCGAATCAAATCATCTTCCTCTGTAAAATTCGAGTATGATGAACTTGGTGAGATCCCAAACGACTGCCATGGAGCCCTTGGAATCTCACTTCGTTGGAAATACCCAAAACGCCCTTCTACTCCTCCTTCGCATACTTCCTACATTGTCATCAACATCACAAAAATAAAAACATGAGTTATTCTTCCAGCAATCCCTAATATATAAATTAGGTATACCACCCACTAATTGACTGTTGTAGTGACTACAAGGGAGTTCGATACACATTGGAACTAAAACTCACATACGATTGAGCCTCAAACCCTAGCTTGTTTCTGCAAAGATATCACCATAGAAACACCTAATTTCATCAAATTTATAGTTATTTCTTTTTTTGGAAAGATACCTTTGAAGATTCAAGAATCAAGTCGGGTGAGACCTGAAAGCTAGGAGGATCATTACGGTCAATCGAATAAGTTGGTTCATTTGTCTGAAAAGAAGTGAGAGGGCTTGAAATATTGCTCTCACTGCTTCCACCTCCCTTAGTTTCCGGTTCACTATTAACATAACTTGTTCTTTGCTTGTTCTTTTTCATCACACGACACAACACGAAAGGTTCCTGAAAATTATTAACATGGTGAATACTTGTAAAATTTCTGAAGTAATCAATAATTTAGGCCCCATTTCTTACGCATGACATGTTGTACTCTGTTTGGCATTCATTGGACTGGGACAGATGTCAATGCGACAAAGATAGCATTTTTTTGTAACACCCTGACCTAATGATAATAGTAAAGTCCAATCCAGTAGTCATGTCATGTTGTGTCAGGTGTAACAAACGGGGCCTTAAAGTGGTGTATTGTAATATTTACTTGAAAACTTGGTGTCCCTTGAGAAACATCATCACATAAACGGTACTCATGCATGACCCAACATGTTCGATTTCCGGTTGGGGCTCGTCCATTATAGAAGACGAGGGTCTTGCGGTACCCCAAAAGAGATGATTGGCAAAGGACTTTTCGGTCTTTTCCAGTGGCTTTCCAGTAACCAGCATTTGTTGCTCGATTTGTGCGAGATCCATTTGGGTATTTTCGATCACGGGGACAAAAGAAGAACCACTCCATATCGTCATTTGGAAGGAATGATTTCTCTATAATTCACCAAATTCAATAATTAGTTTATATAATCAAGATTCGCCATGGATTGAACTTGTGCAATTATAGATAATTTAATGGGCTAAATGCAAAAATATAGGAACATAGTTGCATTGCACTTTTGTTTCGTTCTATTCAACATTGTATTTCAATTATTTCTCATAAAGGCATCATAGTTTGAAATTTTTTCCAAGTTATTAGCATTGTACTTTCGGGTTTTTTTTTTCTTATTCGGACATTATACTCTAAAAGTTCTGCACAATAATAGCATCCTACTTTCATTACTTCGTATTTATATGACATTGCTATAATGCATAGATTCTTTATATTATGAGTTGCAATAGAAAGAAATTAAAGTAGGATGCTATTATAAATACATCAATGAAAGTAACACTAATTTAAATGCCCAAATGATGTTATCATACGATCTAGCCAGCAAAAAGTAAATCATGCTTATGAAAAATTAAAAAAAAAAAAAAAAAAAAAAAAAAAAAAGGAATCTGGTTTTTCATTGAGGCAAAAAAACAAACAGTTTGAATGCATCAAATTTGTGAAACAAATGGAGCTTACCTGGCAATTCCCACGGTTCAAACTTGTAGAATTTGATTACGGGAATAACTTCAAGTTCGATTTCAAGCCCTTGAACCTTTCGTTTCAAGTAATACCCAATCAGTTCTTCTTCTGTGGGGTGAAAACGGAATCCTGGTGGCAATGAGGCCCCTCCCATTTATTCCTAAACTTGTCGACGTGCTTTAAAAAATATTGCAGCTAGAACTAGTAAACAGACAGAAACAGTAGAACTAAGTACCCAAACTGCACCTGCTGAAAATCTGGAAGATCCAAAAATAAAAACTTTTCTCCACACAGAATTTCTTTTCAAGAATTGCAAATAACTTCCAAAGATTGCATCTGTTGATCAACACTCTCATTTTCCTTAGAAACTGGAGTGCTTTCTTGATCTTTTAAGCCTACTCACAGCTTCTTTTCGTCGAAATCATCAAAAAATCTTGATTTTGATATAAAATGATCAAGTTCTAGGTAATACCCAAGCGATTAAACTGCTTAAAATTCAAAAGCGATTATATTTTGAAAATACCCACAACGTAAACTAATTCAAAAAGTTGTAAAATATATTATTTGGGTTTAAGAGTCTTCTTTAAAGAAGATGGTATAATGAAGGGTCGATGGTTGTACAGTTCTAGTGTGGGAGGTTTTATAGGCGTGAGGAGGGTCAAAAATGTCCAATAGCCTGTACACTGGAACAAGGTACACTCTAAGTTGAAGGAAAAAAAAAAAAAAAAACTTAATTATGAAGTGGGATAGTGACAAAATTTGACTATTTTTTGTATAATATAATTTTTAATCAACTTTGCGATTAAGATTGAAG